ATGGTCTTCTCCCTCGTACACGCCGTCTCCATAGACATGCACACAAGAAACATTCTCATCTCGAAAGCTATCCCCTCTCCAAGAACGAGACCTCTCTCTCTCTCTCTTGGGTCCTCCATGTGCATCCGAGCTTGAGCTCAGCCCTTCACGGACGCCATTTCCGTCGTTCGCCTTGTTGTCGCCTCCAAGGCGGCACCATCGCGCGGTCATCCGATCTCACCGTCATGGTGCGATCCCCTGTGTATCCCGCCTGAACCGAAGGAGTTTCTCTTTCTCTCTCTCTCTCTCTCTCGCTGAGTTCTTCTCATTCGGCGGACGCCACTTCTGTACCTCCGGCGACCAACTTCACAACGGTACTTCGTACTCGCGCCCCCTACTCTGGCAACACTCATACACGCAGCGATGCTTCTCGGAACCGTCAAATCTGTCCCAAATGGCCTCGACCGCTCCCTGCTCTTTTCTGTCCTGTTTTCCGATGCCAGACCGAGATCTGGGACAAGAGCCACCGAGCGCCGTAGCAGCGCGACCGTGAGCTGGGTCAAATAAAATCGTGAGCTGACCTGGTGTGATCCACGTAGAACACGTCCGGCTCGAGTTCAAGTTAAGACGACGCTCGTCTTTGTGGCTTAAAGTCTCACTAGAGTTCGCCGCTTCCAAGACCCGGTCGACTTTCCACCTGCCACCGTCGCACTTGGTGGCCTCGGTGTCAGCCAAGTTCAACATCTTTTTTTCCTTCGGTTTTCGAGAGAAAACTGGAGTATTGTATATGTGCATCTCTAGCTTCGTTTAAGGCTGTCGTTCCCCTTTTGTGGATTCGCAGAGGCATGTTGTTGAAAACACTCGGTCTGTATAAAACAGAGGAGAGGAAAAGTAGATGCACACAGGGGGCGCGCTTGGCTCGGGTTAAGCCAAAACAACGCTCGACTCCATGGCCAAGATCCTTACCAGAATCGGTCATTTTGCAGGATTCTGGTCAGGGATGGGTTGCGCACTTTACTTTCTTCGCGTTTATTGTGAATGTCTACTTTTCCTTGATTGCGCACTCATGCATGGACATCATATAGTGGCATAAGATAATAAAATGGGTAAAGATTGCCCGAATCATTTAGGTAACAGCTTCACAGCGGTACTTAAAACCAGACTCTAATTGATATTGTCCTTTTCATTACTAGATACTGGATAATATAAGATAAGAATATGCGGAAGAAAATTTTATAATTTCCGGGTGCTTCACAAGGAAGAGTACATGAGATAGTTACAGGCTTTACGTGATAATTAAGATATTACAACATCAATTATACTTAATCAGAGATATGCACTGTCTCGGGAAATATATGCACAGTCCTGCGAGATATGGGGAATCTGCCTATTACATCTCTAATAATATACAAGTCCATTCATACCGGTAAAACAGAGTTACGGCACACAGGGCAAGAGAGATGAGTTCTCAACCAGGGATCGACACAAGAAGAGTGAAATATATGCTTACACGAAGGAAGGACCCAACAGTGTTCACCTTCCACGAAATCATTCAAGCAAATGGCACAGTCCCGAAACTTCGACCCGATCCCTTGACTCATGTAACTCACAGAAGGAAACAATTCTAACAGCTGTTGTAGGATTCGTTTCCTTTTTTCTTCCAGTTCTCTTCGTTCTCTCATGATCCTCCTCTGCATGACCAATATTTCTTTTATCAACCAGAGCAGCTGGTCGTTCTCGGTGAGGAGAAAAGCATGGAGGATGCCGAGGAAGGGGAGCGCGATGATGACAGCAATCATGCAGATGCAGAGGACAGTCGCACTCATTCCTGTGGCCGCAAGCAAAACAGTTAAGTGGGCAAGGCCTGACAAGAGGTCGCGGAGGATGGAGGGCTTGGAGGCGGCAATCCAGCAGATGAAGATGGCGGCCGGACACATTCCTTTGGTCATGACCACAAATAAAACAGATGCGCCGTGGCCTACGATGAGGTTGAAGGTGATGAAGAACATGGCAAAGCCATTGAGGATCAAGCTGATGAGGGTGACGGTCAGACTCATTCCTTCAACCATGGCCGCAAGCGAAACAAATACTCATTCTACTCTTTTCCTCGATTTTGAGCACATCTCTTTATAGTACCTCAAGAGTTCCCATGGTTCTGTCTTGCATCGACGAGGACCTTCCCGTCAATTTGCCGGCTTTGATTGAAAACCTAGCCAGATTTGTCGTTGTTTTGTGTTACTGTCAAAGGCGATTGTTTGTCTAACTAGGAATTTTCTGAATCCTGTCTACACTTTCTCTAGTTCCTATCAATTCCATAGTACAAATCGAAGACCTTGTTTCTCATTGAATTTTGTTTCGAGTATCCTTCTCCGATCCATCCATAATATGGCATGTTTTACAAGTAACTTACTAGGTCATACACCTTAAAATGAATATAAGTACTTTCCTGTGTGGTCATTCTTATTGACTTTCCATGTTCCGCTTTTAAAAATGGGAGTAATTTCACAGAATCAAGTGCAGAAATCTACATTTAGTACTAATTGTTCACAGCATACTTTAGATGGATTTCATTGCGACAAGACAATCATTTGCTGTGGCAAAATAACTGTCGTGACACGACATGTTTTCGTTGCGGCGAAACCATATCAGTCAGACAAGTTTCCTTGCAGCGAGATTATTTGTTGAAATACACATATGAGTTGTATTAGAGAAGTCCTACATCGAATAATTGATATGGTGTTGAATAGTTAATATATCCTAGTTGGCCCATAACTCATTAGCTTAAGCTTTTAAGTGAAGGTGAGCCCAACTGGATATGTTGACGAGGTCGGACCTCAGCTTCCTCTTAGCAATCTCCTTAGATGAAGGTATCGGGCTTCTATTACGTACTTCCAACATTATCCTCATTGCTGTGAGACCATTTGTCTCGATATGACAGAGTTTCCACTGCAGCAAGGTTATGTTCTTTGCGGTGAGACTGAGACGAGTTTGGTTGAGGCGACAAAACCTCGTCTCCGTTGCGGTGAGACATGACACATCAATTTGAAGCAAGACAAAGTAGTTCTTTATTTGTTTCATATTTGGAATTTTCGTTGCGATCTTAGAGCCCTTGTTGAGCATGTAAGCCACAAATATACTGCGGTGCCACCTAGAACTAGGCCTACTTGGGATCTGGTCTAGCATCTGCACGGTGGTTAGTCTATGCTCTGAAAACAATGTTTTTGTCAACGTATGATTGGACTTGCTCTTTACATAGCCGTCTTCAAAACAGGCCATTTTGCATACCTGCTAAATTGATAGCAAGACCTCTTACCAAAAAAGAAATTTGTAAAAGTAATTGTCTGTATCACTTAGAAAAATTAGTTAGCGGAAACTATTTTCATTATAAATAAAAATATTTTCCACCTAAAAGTTTTCGGTGATGATGTAGAGGTGTGGTAACATGCAGCTGTAAAGTTCACGTTGACGACGATACTGGAAATCAAGTGGAGCGACCCCATGAAATGCCAATCAATTGCAACTGCACCCCTACTCACGAAATGCGTCTCCCCTGCGCAATTAGCTCAAACCCTCCAAGCTTCCCAAGCAGAGATGCTGTAATGCTACTAATTAAACATGAAGATGATAAGTGAGGTCTTAACCCGCATGTCTCAATTCCTTCCTATAATAGCTATTCCCAAGCGTTAAACAATCCGGTGCCGCCTTCCCAAGTGACTTCTCCAAACTAAATAATCCAGGAATTCCTCAAGAACCAGCCACCAGTAGCCTTCTTGCTGGCAGCGACGCGGATGGTAATATTTCTGAGGGAACCAAGCAGAAGTCATGACGGGAGTCCAACCTATCATCTGCACACCCCTATCGCCTTCCCAATTAAGTGATTTAGGCGCTTCCCATTGCACACCCCTATCATCTGCTGTGGCAAAATAAGTGTCGCGCAACAAGACATGTTTCATTGTGGCGAAACCATATCTTCGTTACGGTGCAAGTTTCGTTGCAGCGAGATTATCCTCGTTGCTGTGCAGCCATTTGTTTCAATACGACGAGTTTCACTGCAGCAAGGTTATGTTCTTGTGGTGATACACGTTTCATAGCGGCAAGTCTGTCATCGTTGTGGCAAGACCAAACTTTTGTTGATTCTGATCTTTCCTTCTCATTTCCAAATTTGACTCATCTGAGAACATTTGCTATTTTCGAACTCTTTTCCTATTTGAACTTGATAAAGAAATTGAATTGAAGAGAGAGAGAGAGAGAGAGAGAGAGAGATTACCTGGAGGCACCCACAACAAATGCAGTAGAACCACATCGGGTCGGATTGCTTGCAGTGACGAGCCACAATTATTCCTATAATCATCAAAATGCTCCATCCTAGAATGTTCAATATCCCATGTCTCTTCCTCAGCCTTGAGTAGGGCCTCCGAGCTGAGTTGTGGTTTGGCCTGTTTCATAATTTGCATGGCATATAACTTCACGGATTGCAATATGGCACTTTCCCATCGATTAACCATTGTAGCCCTCTCACTATAAATACCTCATCAGTTCATTCATTTGGGGACTTTTGGCTGTTAGCTATCGAAACATTTGGACTACTAAACGTTTGGATTTTAGCTCCTCTGTCGACTTAGGAATCTTCAAAATTTGGGATTTCGGCAGCCGATCGTTTAGATACTCTCCACAATAAGCCGTCGAAATTCCTCACTTGTCACCTGGCTTTCAAGCGCCTTCTCTATATCATCCTGCTTTTGGTGTTGCTTTCATGTGGCACTAACCCTTCCGTAAGGCTAAGGGATCTTTAGATTAGACCCCCTCAACTAATCGAAAGACAACTCTTCAAGTGTCGTGCTACTTGATGATTATATTTCAAGGTGAAATTTAAACTGAATGCGTTTAGTTTGTTTTTCAATTGGCTCGTTCTCGGGACAAATGGAGTTCGCACAAGGTCCCAGCATTGTTAAGGTAATTTGCCATCCTTGAGGATGAAAAGAAACGCATCGTTGTTAAACCAAAATGAAGGCAGACAGAAACAACAAGAACCGAACTAACTTTGCTTCTGAATTCTATACATAATACATCAATTTGAAGCAAGACAAAGTAGTTGTTCTTTATTTGCTTCATATATTGGAATTTACGTTGCGATCTTAGAGCCCTGGTTGAGCATGTAAACCACAAAATACACGGCGGTGCCATCTAGGACTGGGCCTAATTGGGATCTGGTCTAGCATCTGCAAACTGAATTAGTCTATGCTCTGGAAAGAATGTTTTTGTCAACATATGATTGGACTTGCTCTTTACGTAGCCGTCTTCAAAACAGGACATTTTGCGTACCTGCTAAATTGATAGCAAGACTTCTTACCGAAAAAGAAATTTGTAAAAGTAATCATCTGTATCACTTTTGTCAGAAAAAAATAATAATTAATGGACAATATTTTCATTATAAATAAAAATATTTTCCACCTAAAAGTTTTCGTTGATGATGTAGAGGTGCGGCAACATGCAGCTGTAAAGTTCACGTTGACAATGATACTGGAAATCAAATCGAGCGACCGAGTGAAATGCCAATCAAATTGCAACTGCCCTCCAACTCACGAAATCCGTCTCCTCTGTCGCGAGTACCTCAAACCCAACCTTAGCCGTTCTCTTATGGTAGTGACGCAAACCACCGGCCACGCGAGAAACAATATCTCGCGCATTTGTCTTGCTGCTCAAAAGTTGTGCCATCTCCTGCTTTGAAACAGGGTTTTTCGTGCGTGTTCAGATCAAATCAAGTATCACTTGGTCTCAGGCAGCTCTCTTTGGAAGAACTGCCGAGTGGCTAGTCTTACTGGTGGATTTCGTCATCACTGTTGTCCTCCCCAAGGCTATCAAGTCACAAGCCCTAGTAGATCTCTTCACACAATTCCCCACTCAACAAGATGGGGTCCTACCCTTGTCTAGTCCTAAGTTAGTTTCATGAGGATTCGGTCTTCTCTGAAGCCCAAGAAGGGGAATGGTGTGTATACTTATGCAGCTGCTTGGGGGTGTCGGTAATCATCTTAATACGCCGTGCCTTGGCATTGAAGCAGTCAATCTGAAGCCGTCGAGTAGTGAAGTAATTCCCTTGGCGTGTCCGTGCAAGTACTTATGCCTTACCAAGTAGTGATTTCATTCCCTTGTTGGGTTATGTAGGTATTGCATCAAATACAAGCCGTCTGCTCGGGCGCATCAAATAGAAGCTGTCCTCTAGGGCGCATCAAGGATCAAATACAAGCCATCCTCCAGGACGTATCAATAAAAGCCGTCCTCTTGGGCGCATGAAAAACAAGCCGTCCTTTGGGAAGCATCAACTAAGTCGTTCTACAGAGCTCATCAAATAGAAGTCTCCTCCGGAGCACATCGAACATTGAATACAAGTCATCCTTTGGATCACCTCTAATATAAGCCATCCTCCGGGGTGCGGCAAACAGAAGCCCTCCAAGCAGCCTTGCACAGATGTGTGAGACACCTTCTAAGGTGCACTATATAAGTTGCCCTTCCAGGTGCATCTCTCGAAGATGCTCTTCGATGTCCATTTTTAAGCTGCCTTACGTCCAACGAAATGCGTTCCTCCCATTTTCAATGAAAAGAATTGACATTTCTAAGAAAGGTACATGCGGCGGCCCCTCGAAGTGAATGATCACATGCGCTCCTCCCAAGAAGTTGCTACAGGCACATGATGTTGTCCTAGTGTCTTTGCGATTACATACTGCTTGTCAATAATGATGTTCCAATTGTCGCTTAAAACAACTATCAAGACAATTCAAAGTCATCTTGTGGTTGCTCCTTAGCTACTTCGGTTAGGGAATCAATTGCTCCTCCAGTGGAACTTTTCTGTCATTTCTATTGCTGCTTGCACATCTCCATTGGCGGTCATGCCACTATGAATCTTTGGTGTTATGCTGCTATAAGTCCATTGGTATTCCCGCAGCCTCTTTCCCGACTGAAGTTCCAACTACTACTATTTGAACATTGTTCTCACCGCGTTAATTTCGTTGGCATTTCCCGTTGTTTTCTATCTTACCACTACGATGCTGTGGCTGCTGCTGTCACTTGGTTCTGACGGGAATTTTATTGCCTTGAATAGTCAATGCTCGTGCCGCAGTTAGTGTTCCTGCCACTGCTACTTTAAGACTTCCTGGCAGCTGTTATAGCCCTTTGTTGTGTTTTCGTGGGAGTCAGTTCTATATTTCGGAGAAATTGTATAATTTATGTGTGCTTCATAATGAAGAGTATAATAAGTATTTGCAGGCTTTACAATATGACAAAGCTATTACAATACCAATTATAATCAACCACAGCTTTGCACAATCACAGAGAAAAACGAAGGGAGATATGGGAATTCTCCCGATATTATATCTCTAAAAATAAACAAGTCGATTCATACATGTAAAAGAGAGTTACGGCAAACAGGGCAACAGAAACGAACCATCAACCAGCGATCAATGCAAGAAAAGTGAAACATATGCTTACAAGAAGGAAGGACCCAACAGAGGTCACGTTCCATGAAATCCCCCAGGCAAATGGCACAATCCCCAGATTCTGACCCAACCCCTTGGCTCGTGTAACTCACATAAGTAAACAAGTCGAACAGGTCCTGTACCTTTTTTTCCCTTTCTTCTTCCAATTCTCTTATGGTCCTGGTTGTCCGGAACGTCAGTGAAGGAGTCCACGATGTAGTAGGTAAGTACGAGCATGAGGTACATACATAAGAGGAACACGCCGGTGGAGGCAGTCGCTTTGATCATTGCTGCCGTACCATTCCTTCGACCCTGTCATCAAGCCAACACAACAGCCTGAGGAAGCCTACCGCAACGAGGAAAGGGACCCCGGGTGACGCGATAGCACAGCAGATTTCCAGGACGACCCGATTCATTCCTTTTGGACACGACCGCCAGGGAAACAGTCAGTTTACTCTATTCTTTTTCCAGATTTTGAGTACATCTCTTTGGAAAATGAGAAGCTAAGGGAGCTGTTGTTGGGAGGCATCCGACGATGCATTCACCACCGCCCATTTTGCAAGAGAAACCGGACGACTTGCTTTCCCCGTTCATACTTGGTTATTCATTTGTTAACAAATAAACAATTCAAGAATGAATTCTTTTTCTCATATTCCATTTTTTTCAACTTTACGCGCGCGCGCATATATATATATATATATATATATATATATATATATGTATCGACATGAGCCACCCTAGAATCTCCTACAAATCAGAAGACACATATATAAAGAGACTTTAAATAGAAAAAAAATATACAAAGATCTTAAATAGAAAAAAACTCTCCTATTTAGACCCTAATTGACAGCTCATGTTAACACTCCCTCTCAAGCTGGTGAAAAGATATCTTTGATACCCAACTTGACAAGTGACCTGTGGAATGCTCGACTTGATACGGCCTTTGTAAGTATATCCGCCAACTGGTCTTCATATTTGATAAATGAAAAACTCACCCCCCTATCATTCAGATTTTGCTTGATAAAATGCCTATCAACTTCAACATATTTAGTGCAGTCGTGTTGAACCGAGTTGTGGGAAATTTGAATTGCGGCCTTATTATCGCAAAACAACCACATCCCTGACTTAGGTGGAAGATCAAGTTTTGTCAACAAATTCTTTAGCCACAAAAGCTCATCACTACAAAAAAAACTGATTTTTTCCGACGAAATTTCCAACGAAAAGTTTGGAAAAATTCGTTGGAAAACGAATTTCCAACGAATTTTCCAACGACAAAAAATTCGTTGATAATAGGTCGTCGGAAATTTTTCCAACGAAAAATTGCAATTTTCGTTGGAAATTTGCGATGAATTTTATTTCGTTGGAAAATTCGTTGGAAAACTTGTGGGTAAATTCGTTGGAAAAATTACAAAATTTTTTTTTGGTCGAAAATCGTGGAAATTTTTTTTCCAACGAAAAATTTTTCGTTGGAAAAATTATAATTTTTTTTTTGGTCGAAAAATCGTGGAAATTTTTTTTCCAACGAAAAATTTTTCGTTGGAAAAATTACAATTTTTTTTTGGTCGAAAAATAGTGGAAATTTTTTTTCCAACGAAATTTTTTTTTTTTTCGAAAAATCGCCCTCGCCATGGCCGGTGACGGCCAGCCTCGTCGCCGGCGAGGGCCGAGCTCGAGCTCCTCGCCGGCGAGGGCCGAGGTCACCCAGATCTGGGCGAGCTCGAGCTCGTCGCCGGCGAGGCCCAGCCTCGTCGCGAACTGGCGACGAGGAGGCGGTCGAGAAAAGGAGGGGGAGAGGCGGGCGACGAGGGGCTCGGGGGAGCCGAGGAAGGGGTGGCGGCCGGGGAGGGGGCGGAGGCCGGAGGCGCGGGGGACGGGGGAGTCGGGGGCGAGGAGGAGGCGGTCGAGGTGGACGAAGTGGCCGAGCTGGAGGCGGTTGGAGAGGATGAGGTCGGCGTCGCGGTCGGAGAGGGAGACGTAGGTGGAGTGGAGGGAGTCGGAGAGGTGGAGGAAGAAGCCGTGGTTGGGCCAGAGGTCACGGGGGCGGCGAGGGCGGGGACAATGCCGACGACCTGGAGGAGGGCGGAGCGGTGGTCGCCGGCGACGCGAGCGTTGGAGGAGTTCATGGACTGGAGGAGCTTCAGGAGGATGCCCTGCTTGAGGGTCGCCATCTTCCCCGGTCTGCTCTCTCTGCTCTTCTGCTTCTGCTTCTCTGTCTCTGCGTGTGTACTTGTGTGGTGAAGAAGGTGAGGGACGCGACGATAGAAGAGAGAGGAGAGAGAGAGAGTCTCTGTCACGAGATTCAAATTCAAAATCCCGCTAATATTACTAATTTTTCAGTTTGTATAATTTTCGTTGGAAAATTCGTTGGAAATTTCTAACGAATTTTCCAACGAAAATAGTACACACTGAAAAAATTCCCCAGAAAATTGAAATTCGTTGGAAAATTCGTTGGAAATTTCCAACGAATTTTCCAACGGATATAAAAAATGCCGAACAAGACCGATTTTTTTTGAATTCGTTGGAAATTTCCAACGAATTTTCCAACAAAAATAATACACACTGAAAAAATTCCCCGGAAAATTGAAATTCGTTGGAAAATTCGTTGGAAATTTCCAACGAATATAAAAAATGCCGAACAAGACCGATTTTTTTTTAATTCGTCGCAAAATTCGTTGGAAATTTCCAACGAAAAAAAATTCGTTGGAAATTTCCAACGAATTTTCCAACGAAAATAGTACACACTGAAAAAAATTCCCCGGAAAATTGAAATTCGTTGGAAAATTCGTTGGAAATTTCCAACGAATTTTCCAACGAATATAAAAAATGCCGAACAAGACCGATTTTTTTTTTTTTTGAATTCGTTGGAAATTTCCAACGCAAAAAAATTCGTTGGAAATTTCCAACGAATTTTCCAACGAAAATAGTACACACTGAAAAAATTCCCCGGAAAATTGAAATTCGTCGCAAAATTCGTTGGAAATTTCCAACGAAGTTTGCAACGAAAAATTTTTCATTGGAAAACTCGTGGCTAAATTCGTTGGAAAAATTACAAAATTTTTGAATTACAAACTTCGTTGGAAAATTACAAACTCGTGGCTAAACTCGTGGCTAAATTTCCAACGAATTTTCCAACGAATATAAAAAATGCCGACTAATACCGGGTTTTTTTGAATTCGTCGCAAAATTCGTTGGAAATTTCCAACGAAAAATTTTTCGTTGGTAATTACCAACGAATTTTGCGACGAAAGATTTTTTGTTGGAAATTTCCAACGAATTTTGCGACGAGGAATTTTGCGACGAGGAATTTTGCGACGAAAAATTTTTCGTTGGAAATTTCCAACGAATTTTACTTTTCGTTGGAAAATTTGTCGCAAATTTGCGACGAAAATTTTTTCGTTGGCAAATTTTCGTGGCAAAAATCCGGTTTTTTTGTAGTGCATATAGTCCTTTAGCCACCCCTCGAAACTCGGCTTCAGCACTTGACAAAGCTACTACTTTCTGCTTCTTGCTCCTCCATGTAACCAAGTTTCCTCCTACAAATGTAAAGTAGCCTGACGTCGATCTCCTATCCGAGATATTGCCAGCCCAATCAACATCCGTAAATCCTTCCACCTCACAATGATTATTCTTTGCAAAGAATAGTCATTTCTCTGGTGCTGACTTCAAGTAGCATAAAATCCGAACTACAGCATTCATATGCTCGTCACTAGGAGCGTGCATAAACTCACTTACAACTCCTACAGCATATGCAATGTCAAGCCGAGTGTATGATAGATAAATCAGTCTCCCTACTAGCCTTTGATATCGGTCCTTATTGGTCGATACCTGATCGGGAAAATCTCCAAGTTTATGATTCTGTACTATGGGATTATCAACAGGTTTGCAGTCCAACATCCCCCCTCAGCCAACAAGTCCAACACATACATCCGTTGAGATAAGAAAATACCCTCCTTTGATCTGACCACTTCAATACCCAAAAAATATTTCAGGCCTCCCAAGCTCTTCATCTCGAACTCATTCGCCAATTTCCTTTGAAGTTCTACGATCTCCTCAAGGTTATCCCCTGTGATGATCATGTCATCTACATATATAATCAATGCTGTCACTTTGCCATGCCGTCGTTTTAGGAACAATGTATGGTCCGAATTACTTTGAGTGTACCCATACCTTTTCATTGCAGAGCTAAAGTGACCAAACCAAGCCCGTGGTGATTACTTTAACCCGTACAACGATTGCTCAAGTTTACACACCACTTTTGATTTGTCAGCACACGCATATCCTGGTGGGATTTCCATATAGATCTCTTCTTCCAGATCTTCATGTAAGAACACATTTTTTACATCAAATTGATGTAAGAGCCGGTCCAAATTTGCTGCAAGTGATAACAATACCTGCACAGTGTTCAATTTTGCAACCGGAGAGAATGTTTCTTGATAGTCCACACCATAGGTCTGGATATACCCCTTTGCTACTAGACGTGCCTTGTACCTCTCAACAGAACCATCTACTTTATATTTGATGGTGAAGACCCATTTACATCCTACTGCCTTCTTTCCCTTTGGTAATTCTACAAGTCTCCAAGTCTCATTTTTCTATAAAGCCTCCATCTCTTCTTGCATTGCTTGAACCCACTTGGGATCCCTTAACGCCTCCTATACTCCACCCGAAATTCTATTTGCAGAGACATTCGATACAAATGCCTTCAAAGGTCCCGGCAACCGTTCCATCGAAACATAATTAGTGATCGGATACTTCGACCTTCATTCTTTTACACCTAGTGAGTACCTATTAGGAGCCTTGCGACGATTATGTCTGTCGGGCAATTTATAACCAACAGTCACATCAGTATCAACAAACAAATTTTGCGTGGTAGAGGAACTTACCTCAGGACTATCCTCAGGAGAATTGTCAAGTACTAAAGAGGGGGTATTTTGAAGTGAAGAGAGTTGTTCTTGAGATTGCTCATGTGTCTCTTGTACCAAATCAACCTGATGATCAGATTCCTTAGTGTACTGTTGCTCATTTTCTCATGTCCCACCATGATCCGTGGCCACACCATGCTGCAACATGTCACCCCCCGTATTACCTTGCACCTCAGCTTGCGTGTCACCAATCCTCGTGTCACCAGGTGCTAACGCTGCTAGGTCATTTTTTTTCAAAGCAAA